GAAATGCTAAAACTGGGGAAAAAGGCGCGGCCGGGGTTTTCGTTATCGACTAGGCGAGTTTAGGCGATGGAGAAGCGCTCTGCAGAGCAACTGGTTTGAAATAAAAATATTTAAATTTGATATTTAATATTTAATTTGAATTTGAATATAAAAATATTGCAAACCAGTTGATCGTGCAACTGTTTGCGAAAAAATAAAGCCACATTTTAGGATTTAATTTGAACTATTCAAATTTTACAACCAGTCTACCTTAATGACTTTTTTTGGTTGTATATGGAAAATAACGGAAAAAACCATATACCTACAGTAATCATCAATTACTCACCGATCTAGTCACCCCCTTTGGAAAACAAATCTCGCTTCGATAAAGGCGTCTGTGTACGTGGACGTCGCCATGGCGACCGATAGGGCGAGTTTCACATCAAAGTCGCCCATATACCTATCTCACGGCGTTCCCTGATTGTTTTTTAAATTATTTATCGACGCACGTGAATTTACATGATTCGGAAAAAGGGATAAAAATAAAGGAGGTATGTGGATTGTTAGATGGCTCTCGCCGATTGGTCTGTACAGTTAGGGTAGCGTATTGATTTCTTTAAGCTTCCTATTGTTGAATAAATTCGAAAAAATGGGAAAACAAAAACAGGAAATGTTGCGGCAAAGGAAATACATTTAAAAAAAGTGTAAATATTTTGGTCAATAATTTCTACAATTCCAAAAAAAAAATTAGGTTTTATACAACTAATTTGTTAACAACATTGTTTCGCATCGTACATATCGGATTACAAAGAATTGTATGTATAAAGCAATTATGAAAACATTAAATTACCGGCCCCCGGTTAATGACATAATTCGTCGTTAAGACAAAATGTCGACCCAGATACGTCGTATCTTCGTGAGATTTAACGAAACAATAAGTACGGGTTTCGAGGAAACCGCCGAAAAATGTCGTCTTTTTCGGTATGCTTTCACTTCCTTTTTGTCGAAATTAAACTGACTTTTAATTAATACAATTATTCGCGGATAATGACAGGTCGGTAAACGAACTCCGAAAGATAATAAACCAGAGCCGAATTAGGTAATCGCCTCGACAATTGTACATGTACATAATGATATTAAACTCTAAACGTATCTAAATAGCTAAAGCAAGTTACTAAATCAAGTAACTAAAATTTGGTGTGGACAACTTGATTTAGCAGTTTAATAAATTAGGTACTTGCACAAGTTACTAAATCAAGTTATTCACACCATACAAGTAACTAAATTTAGTAACTTGCATTTCCTCGCGCCTTAATTTATTATTTAAGGCCCCGAAACTACTATTTATTAAAATTTAAAAATTGCTAATGAACATTTAACAAGAAATTTATCTAATAATGTGTTCATAACTAAATAAATTATTTTCTCCATACTTTTACTCGATTGAAAAAAAATCTACCTATAGTTAATTAATATAACTATTAATTTAATTAAATTTGTTTGCAGTTAAATCTCCAACCAATTTCGAACAAGATTTTAGTAAGTCAATCATTAATTTGACATCATATATTCTTCTATTATCCAATTATTCCTCTTGAAAATAACATTCCCTCTATTAAAGAACTTTAATCACTAATAAATAGATGCATCAGCGGTAAAGTAACCGTAGCATTAAATCTTTTATAAAGCAAAACAAATAATTACGAGTCGGTGCATTGGGAAAATTGCAGACGTATTTATACCCAGTTACTTGCTTAAGAGATGGCGAATACTCAAAGCCGCTAATTTCAATATTTTCTATTAAACAAAATTCTCGGTCTGCTAAACAAAATACCAGTGTTTCATCTCTGAATCAAGAAAGCGTGTATAACACGAAAACTCTCCTCTTTTTATTATAATAATCAGCAACACAAACAATTGCAAAGTTTATATAATTATTTCGTATGAAATAGGAAAACGATATGTAATTATGGATTTTGATGCGATATGTAATTCTTTGTTTCACGTTAGTTAGCGACGATTTAAAACAATTCGAATTTTAATTTTCGCTTGTATACAGGACGTCCTCTCGAAAACCACGATCGTGAAACCTTCAAAAAAAATCCAATAACAATCCTTCCGCATGAACCGGTTGTTTCGTGATATTTTTCCGAAAATAACCCGCTATCAAACATTTCGAAGCTCGCTCGGAAATCTTCAATATCGAACAATACGACCCGATTTTCGGCAGCGCCTCAGATAAAAACCACAGCTGGCCGAAAAACACGGAAAACTCGATAAGAAAAAGCCGGTTATCGTTTACCAATAATTCTCGCGATTTTCACCTAAATAGAAATCCTTCTCGAAAATACCGCGAATATTTCATCGAATAATATTACCCGTCAATTTATCTACTATTACATACACAGGGTGTTTGAATCGGATAGTTTTTATATCGATCCAATTACACGATTCTCTCCATTAATCAAAAATCGTTGCGATTGTACATAACGTGCGCTTTTTTCCCTCTCAAACCGAACGTTTCGTATCATTATTATAACGATATTGTGTAGGTATATAAATGGTAATTTGTATACGGGGGATATATAGTGGAAAAAAAGGGGTCCAGAGCACCGGTGTGTTATTGAGCACGAGTCAAACTCAAACCGACGACCGGCAGGTGCTATTCTGTCTGGAGAGAACTGCACGGGAGGCAGGTGAAAGGAACATATGCTCGTCCTATCCTATCTAACACATTTCATTCGGAACCACCAGTACCAGCGTATGCCTACACTTAATAATTTTTATCATTGTAAACGGTTATCTTTTGGTTCTTGCGCGCGTTTTTATGACGATGACTGGTTGTTTTATGACTTGAAAAAAACCAATTTATTATTGAGCGGTTTATGAGCGGGCTGTGGAAGCTCAAAAAAGACCAAGACTGCTCTTATATTACTTACAATCCATAAATGGCATCATCTTTTAGTACTCTAATTGAGTACTAAGCAGTAGAAAATAGAACTAAATTAAATTATTATAAAGATATTATATGGTGTTCTGATTGATGCTTATTTTGTTTTGGTCACATGTTTTTTTACTCACAAATTATAAAGTTGTGAAAAAGAATAAAACTAACAAACGTGTAATTTTAATTGCCCAAGCTGAAATAGCATCGAGGAAGAAATTCTGAAAGATTACATGCATTCGATAATTGTAATTTGCGGGTATATCGAAATTACTTTCGATTCGATACCATTCTGTTAATGTTATCGAATTAAGATATCGATTTCTAATTTTTTGTGAAATACTTGGGTAAAAAGTTTATCACTATTGTAGATATTCTCTAATTTTTTTTGCAACGAGCTTTAACAACCGATCGATTTGGAAATACAACAATTAACGTGAAAATAGTTTAAGTATAGTAAAAACCTCGTAAATAATTAATTATCAATTATTAGGCAATTAGAAATGTTTGTGAAAATTAACAGATTCCTTCTGAAATGAGCTCAAGCACCTTTTCGAATCGATGATAAAATAATCATTAGGGTTTCTTAGTATAATTAAAATGTCTCTACATCGTTGAATTTTCCAAAAAAAAAGTCCACACAAAGAAAATCAAATATAATTGACGCGTTTTCCGAATTCGAATATTCCTGCTATGTAATCAACGCGGACAATCGAAATTATTTTAAAGATGCAATTAAAATAGTAAAGTGGGAAAAATGGCGGCGGAATAAACTCATTAATTTCGGTATTTTCTTCACGATAAAAACTGTCAAATTAGATGTAAAATTCTTTCTATACAGAATGTCCCAAACATTAGTAAAACTGTCAAATTAGATGTAAAATTCTTTCTATACAGAATGTCCCAAACATTAGTATAGGTATTTTTTTAGAAAATATCCTTTGGGACAAAAGAAAAGGAAAAGATGCGAAAAATATTTGCGAACCGTACCGACCACCTGAGTGTCCAACTTGCATCAGTGATTCACATTCAATGGAAAATATTCAATAAAAAATGCGTTACGTCACTGTCTGTATCGCCATTGTTTTTAATGTTTAACATTTCAAACATAGATCGTCACTTAAGCTACATCTTTTAATTTATATTTGTCGGGTGATAACCGAGATTTATCTATAAATACACCTTGTGTATTAAATAACACCTAAGCACGTAGTCGACCATGAACGCCACCATTGTATCCATTCATATATCAATCCCAAAACAATAACATTCACGGTAGATAAATAAATAATATTTGCAACTTCATTTCACCAAAACTATTATAATGTTGTTGCATACACTATATTGGATTGTAAACGACATTCGATATACAATTTATATACAATTTCAAAGCGACTAAAAGGTTTTATATACAAAAGAGAGTTCGTGGTGTGTTCGGTATTTCATTAATGCGATATCTAAATAAAATTCTAAATCTTTACGAATCTTTAATGCAACAAATTCATTGTCTGGCAATTTTTGTTGGAAATAAACAATTTCCATTCTATTGGAGACTTCCCCTATCGCTTAAACAGCCGGTTAAATGTGCTAAAAAATCAACGATTTTTCGATGGAAAACCGCGAGTTTTAGGGAAAATTCGAGAAGGGGGAAAACCTTGGGACGGGAGAGGAAAGCTCGCCGGCTCCTTCGGCATGAAAATTCGAACGTGACCGGACTAGAATATTAGAATTCGAGGCGCACAAAGGTCGAACGAGGCGCAACGAAAACACCATCCGAAAAATCCGAGTCAAGGCGACGCGCCGTTTAATCCACGATATCGAATTTTGATGTTTATCTTTACCGAGAAGTACGAAAATTAAATAAAATTGTCCAACGTACAAACATACCTAGAATTTTGGTCACGGTCAATGCTGAATTAGAACAAACTTGTGCTGCAATTTTCTTGGATGTTTTAATGATTATTTTAAAGGCACTCTAGTATACCCAATTTTGTTCGTTTATTTTGCTTTTATAACCCATCATAAGATGAGGAAAAGTAGTGGAATTTGTATAAATTTTTTTTTGTTTTTTTTTTAGAACATCTTAGCTTCGAGATGCAGGGAACAGTGTTGATGCCACACAACCCACAGCAAGGATATCCACCTCCGTCAGGTCCAATTGGTAAGCGGAACATATTTACATACATTTAATATAAAATTTACGTAACGGCGTTACATAAAAAAAATTATTAGCCGAAATTGCGGCGCATAATTTAACATTAATTTTTTCGGTGGTATAGCTTTAAAGATTTCCGGAGAGTTTGCCAATACTCGATTCATCTAATAAGAGATTTCTAAAAGATTAACCTGAGGTTTTCTTCGGTAAAATCACTAAATGAAATACCCATTCGGCATCGACCCGAGTTTCAGTACACAAAAGTTAAGGAAGTTTGCAAATTTTGCGATTATTTTAAAAGTTACAAACCTTTTGATCACCAAATTTTCAAATATGGAAAATTAAATGTTTTTTCTCATACCTGAATGGATTTTTTGCCCCTACCTTTACAACTCGTACTAAATTTTGGCGATTAAAAAACCTGCAACTTTTAAATTAATCTCAATATTTGTGAACTTCCTTAACTTTTGTGGAGCAGTATATTTTATCGCCGTATTTGTGTCGGTTATCGTTATCATACCGCATTCGTCGTCTTCCACCGTGTGAATGAAAACAACACATCAGATTTGCTCTCAACAGGAGGTTATTATTAGACCGTTTTTTTTTTTTTTTAAAAAACCTAAAAGGAAATGAAACCTGTATACGTGCGGTTTTTACGTCAAAATATGTACCATTGTGGTCCATATAATCGTCTTTTCCGTTCACACCGGGCCCCAGAATCTCATCTTTTCCCCGTCTTTTTCTCGCCTTTTATCAGATCGCCTTTCGGACGCGTTCTGGTGAACTTCGACGAGGAGGAAAAAGATTTGGTTTGGTAAACACAATTAATTCGTTCGAGGAAATCGTACGAAAAAAAGAGATTGTCTGCGTCTGTTATTCGCGATAGTTTTATTACTTTTGTTACCTGCAAAGAACAAAGGCGGAATTATTGTTTGTCGATCTTCGCGTTTACAGGTAAAATTGATTCGAATTTTTTTGTTCGATTTACAACTACAACCAATTTGCGGTGATTAGAAACATGTGCTTTTATTACCTCGTCCTTATACACCTGTTATAATTGCGAAATAACGTAAAAACGATACGAATTCGAAATTAAAAACGCCGGAGCCTCCGTAATATTCGAGATTTGTTACACATGTACATAATAAAAAAACATTTCTAATCAATTTATTCGAATTATATGCACCGAAGAATCCCGTGAATCATCCGGCATTCGTTTTCATATAAAAGATATATCGGATTACGATCAAGACAGTCGAATTACTCTAGACGCGTTGCCTTCCTGTGACTAAGAAGCATACTTGGGATGCTAGCTCGTTTAAATCATTGAAAAATCTCTGGTAATTGTTTTGCACGAAAATATTTACCATTAGTTACGGCATATTTATATAATAAAACAACGCAGATTTTTCCACGCGCGCCGGCGATGAATCGAATTTTTTTCACAGCAAATGCACAGATTTTACATCGAAACGATTCATCTATAACACAGCCATCGGTTTAACGCCTGTACAGGGAATTAATAAATAAATAATTCGGCAAATTAAAAAAATCCCGTTGAGGATCGACCGCGCCCCGAAGATGATCGTCACCAGGAGGCGATGTCCGTCTACATTCGCGTCGTCATTGTCCATAGTTTTGCGTAAGACCTTTCCGAATAACAATAGTAATCGGGTCAAGTAAACGAGAATGCGTCGATGTGCCGCGTTTACCAATAATAAATAATACAGGGGAATTTAATAGCGCTCGGTGTAGACCGATCGACGAGGGAGTTCGAGCTGGGAATCGGAATTTGTCCTGTATATGTTATGTTCATCTAGAATTTTCTAAAGGTTAGATGCGCGAAAAATCGGTCGAGGCGCCTTGTATAGGAGATGGACTGTACAATTTTCGTACTGGTTGTAATTATGTAAATATTTATTGTTTTAGATTTGTATCATTTACCGAATGACATTTTTTGAAAATTCATTAAGGTTAACGAAATTGAATAAAAAGTAAGATAATATCGGAGATAATTTAATAAGATGCGGAAACAGACGAGAAAAACAATTACATGCGAAATTATTTTGTGACGTTCAAGTAAATTATATGCGAGATTTTTTCGAACTGTAATTAAAACGCGTTTTTTTGTAATCCATTAAAACGTGTATAGGTTATTTTTTGGTACAAGTATACCATCTTTATTAAATATTTGCGGTTACATTTTCCTGGCAGCGACTCTTTTATTTGTCGTTCTTGCATCGATAAGCGAATTTATCTTCATGTCAGGTACGTTTGCCTTTTAATCTTGCATCGAGAGAGGCGAGAAAGCTGCGAATGGCATTCTTATTCGAACCTCGATCATCTACTGTAAATGTCTGTGGCCTACATGGAAAAAAAAACTTCGAATTATAATGATATTCAAAACGCAGCGACATGTCGGTTAACCAAACATATTGCAACGATTCGATTCGGAATATGTACCTAATGAATTTCTTTGTTGTAAACTCGAACCAATCTCTTTAATCCGGTTTTAATATCTTACACAAATTGGATTAATCGAGTAATTGCGAGTAAATAAAAATTATCAGTAACAGTAGGATTTTTTTTGAATCATAGTAATTCAGTTTCAGATATGGAATCACCGCCATCTCCCAACGAAACCACCAAAGAAACGGCCAACAAAAGCGACTCCGGCATATTCTCCTGCACCACCAACTCCACCATCGACCACAACGACAGCTCGAAGACGCTCGACAGCGGCGACAACCGCAGCGACTGCTCCTCGCCCGAACGCAAATACTTCTGTCCCATCTGCGAGAAGATGCTCACCTCGCAGCACAAGTTCACCCTGCACATCCGCTCGCACAACAACGAGGACGAGGCCCAGGACGCCGAGAAGGGCTTCGTCTGCCGCATCTGCTCCAAGGTGCTGAGCTCGAACAGCAGCCTGGACAGGCACGTGCTGGTGCACAGCGGCGAGCGGCCGTTCCACTGCAAGTTCTGCGGCGACACCTTCACCACCAACGGCAACATGCACCGGCACATGCGGACCCACTCGCAGCGCGCCGAGAGCAGCTACGAGTCGGACAGCAGCGTCGGCAGCGCCAGCTCCAAGAGCACCGAATGCAACAACAATAGAATCGAGAAGGTGAAGCGGAAGAACGATAGTTCGGACGCCGGCGATAAGAAGCCGAAATTGGATGTGGAGTTCAAATGTCCGGTGTGCGAACGGACGGATTTCAATTCCAGCGGGAATTTGGAGACCCATTTGGAGGACAACCATCCGGATTATCCGATTAAATGTAACGTTTGTAAAGAAACGTTCGCTAACAGTAAGTTGTTGATGGCTCACAAATCGGCTGTGCACGAAAACGTTGTCAACAAACAGGCTGTTATCGGTTTCAAAGATTTGACTTTCGTGGACTTTTCGAGCGAGAAATTTCCTCACATAGCGCGAAGAGAGTGCGAGATAAATCTGCACAAAGCTTCCAGCGGATTGAAATTCCAATGCAAATACTGCTCCAGAGCTTTCCCTTGTTCCAATTCGCTAAACATACACGAGAACAACTGCAATTCACCGACATCTCTGAATCATTCCGACATGAACGTCTCTCCGCCTGACATCAAACGCATGGAGTTCTTCAACCACCTAAACCTAGTCGATAATTCGCCGGAAAAACACTGTTTCACGTCGAATAAACTACGAGAACATCTAGCAAGAGCCGTAGACAATACCAAAGATCTAGCCGACATCCAATCGATACTATCCAACATCAACCTGCAGAAACTCCAAACCGAACAACCAGCAAAACAAAGTCTAGATACTTCCATGGAATGCCAGAAAATCGAAGAGGACGAATCTCAAGATCTATTCGCCGTGGAATTTCGCAAAATGAAACTCCGAGGCGAGTTCCCCTGTCGACTCTGCACAGCCGTATTCCCCAACTTACGGGCATTGAAAGGTGAGGATACTTTCAACGTTCAAACTTCACATAAATAATTCACAATTTTCTCGTTGCAGGTCACAACAGGGTGCACTTAAACGGCAACAACAACGGCACGTACTACTGCAACATGTGCCCGCATTCTTCGATCGACAAAGCCGCGTTGATCCGGCACATGCGCACCCACAACGGCGACAGGCCCTACGAATGCGCCCTGTGCAATTACGCCTTCACCACCAAGGCGAATTGCGAGAGACATCTGAGGAACAGGCACGCGAAGACCACGCGGGAAGAGGTGAAGAAAGCCATCATCTACCACCCGTCGGAGGATCCCACCAACGAGGAACTGAACAAGCTGGTCGGCAAGGACGATGCGAAGAAGCCCGAGGAGAAGACGCCCTTCGTCGCGCCGAAATTCACCGAATTAATGCGAGGTAATAGAGACAAACCCAAATTGGAGACGTTCCCGGAACTGGCCAAACCGTGCGATGTGCCTTACATTCCGACGTACTTGTCGAATTTCCCCAACAAGATTCAAGTGAAAGATTTGAACGCGCTGAACAACGAATTCGAGGAAGACTACGCGGACGAAGAGGAAGACCAGCCGCTGGATTTGGTGTTGGATTTGAGCAAGAAAAAGCTACCCGAGGCGGTCGAAGAGGAGCCGCAGGATTTGACTAAGAAAACTTCGACGCCGATACAGCAGCAGTTGCCTCCTAGCGTGAGCCAGATGTTCGCGCAGCAGCTGCTGAAATCGCCGCCCAAGATCGATCCGGCTGCGCTGTACGCGACCCAACTGGCTTTGTACCGCAGCGGATTTCCTCTACCGAATTGGCCGGGATTTTCCATCAATCCATTACTGTTTACTGTACCGCCGCCTCTACCGCAAAATTCCTCGCAAGACATTAAAGAACGAATGCAGAGATTCCAGTTGTGCGGAGGTTCGATGATATCTGACGACATCAAAAACCGGCCCTTTCCGATTGCTCCACCGTACTCTAACGGTTTCAGATTGGAGCCGAAACCCGATAGCTTTTCCACGCCTAAAAAACCCGAAAACATGAAACCGCTAAACATTGACCCGAACGTAAACTATCAAGAAAACTTACACAGTCCCATACCATCGGCCAAACCCGATTTGATGCATTCCCCGAACGCCGTTAAAATGGTCATAAAAAACGGCGTGCTGATGCCCAAGCAGAAGCAACGGCGGTACAGAACAGAAAGACCCTTCACCTGCGAGCATTGCTCGGCTAGATTCACTCTGAGATCCAACATGGAGCGGCACATCAAGCAGCAGCATCCTCAATACTGGTCTCAAAGGCAGAGGAGTTCGATAACGGCGCCGGGCAAAAAACCATCCATGCCGGTCAAACCGAACTACTGCGATTTGAGCATCCCGAGTCCGGTGTACCAAAAGGAACCCGTCAAATATTCGCTGCTCTCGCAACAACTCACCAGGCCCGAGTACCACAAGAAAGAGGAGGACGAAGATTGCGCCCTCGTAATCGACGAGAACGACGAGAAACCCGTTGTGAAGACTGAAGAAATCGATTACGACGAGGAGGAAACCAAACCGGACGTGAAAACCATCAAAACTGAAGAAACTACCGATCTAGTTTCCGTGTCTAGGCTGCTAGATAACGCTTCACAGCAGCAATTCAAAGAGTTCTTTAAGCGCGGCGAAGAGCACGATGCTGGTTTGGCTAGCGAAGAAGACGAAGAAGGTTTAGTCGCCAGCGGTAGTACCAGCGAAGGTAACATCTCTGGTACCGACGAAAATAAGTAAGTATTGCACGCGTAAAAAGTGCTATAAAGTAGGTCTAAATACGAATGATTCGATTACAGATCGGAGTCTGAAGCAGTGCAACCGGTCAAGAAGCAATCCGCCTATTCCCTGGCCCCGAACCGCGTGAGTTGCCCCTACTGCAACAGGAAATTCCCGTGGACGTCGTCGTTACGCCGCCACATCCTCACCCACACCGGCCAAAAACCCTTCAAATGCAGCCACTGTCCGCTGTTGTTCACCACGAAATCCAACTGCGATCGCCACCTGTTGAGGAAGCACGGCAACTCCGCCACGACCATCCCCAACGACGTCCACAACAACTCGAATTTCCTCATGCGCAACGTGCCGGAGCGGCCGTTCAAGTGCTCCAGCTGCCCCAGCAGCACCTTCTCGACCTACTCCAATCTGAAGAAGCACATCGGCAGCAAGCACTCGACGAACGCGCAGGGCGACGACATCAAGGCCCAGGGATACGAAGCCGGCAGCTCGGAGGACGAGAAACAGCCCAAGGGCGACTGGGAGAAGTCCTACAAGCTGGCAGATTCGGTGCAAAACTCCGACCTGCCTTACAAGTGCCACCTCTGCGAAGGATCCTTCGCCGATCGACAGGACGCGGTGGATCACATCAGAGACAAGCATGCTTCAGAGTATGACCTGCTGATGTCGAAGAACGCCCTGGAGTGCAGCCCGCCGCCGGTCGACGAGCAGCCGCCGGGCGTCGATGAAGAAGACGCCGAAGGGCGCGGGAAATTCCCCGATTACTCCAACAGGAAGGTGATTTGCGCGTTTTGCATGAGGAGGTTTTGGTCTGCAGAGGACCTGCGCAGGCACATGCGCACGCACACCGGCGAGCGGCCGTTCAGCTGCGACATCTGCAAGCGCAGGTTCACGCTGAAGCACAGCATGCTGAGGCACAGGAAGAAGCACAATTTGAATTTCGGGCAGGATGGGAACGGGAGCGATGAGGAGGGGAATAACGGGTCGTCGCCGGGGTGTGGGAGATTGGAGGGTTTTAATCAAAAGACGGACGAGTCGGATGGGGCCGAGGGCGTGGATTTGATTAGTAATTTGTTGGGGTTGAGGGATCGGAGTATTATTGATAAGGTTTTGACAGCTTCGGCTGATGACGCTGCTAAATTGTTAGGCGTTAAAAACGGTGTTAAAGAATAGGTTTTTTTTTAGTAGTATATTTTATGGTGATTGAGTTGGGTTTCAGAAGGAAATTTTTATGTATGAAAAGAATTTATTTTTTTTTTAAGTTGAAGATTATTTTTTAGAAGTATATTTATATTTTGGTATGATTATCGAAAAATTGTGAATTTGGGGTGTCTTATATTTTGGTAGTTCATGGAGAGTGTTTCCTAGGGTATAGATTAGTAAATTTGTTAGAACATTTAGAAGGTTTTTCAACAAATTGCACTAAAAATTGTTTGAATTTTGCATTCAAATTTCCACACTGACTAGTTAAAAATTTAAGATACCCCTTATTAGGTTGTTTATTAAATTTTATGTATTGTAGTACAATTTTAATTTCGACTGAATTAGTTTAGATTAGCAACATTAAATGTTTCCTTCTTAGAATTTATTGATTTTTTTTTATATATGATAAAAGCTTATTTCTACATGTGTATATAAAGCATTTCTTTTTTCTTGGATATGTACTAAGATATATTTGTTTTTGTCTAGTCAGGTTCATTCCAACGAATTAGTAGCATCCAATGCTAAATATATATTTGTTAAATATAAGTATTATAGTTCACATTTTTAATATATTATTATATTAATCTTCATTCAACTATTTTTGTACATAAATAATAATATACGGTCTAGGTATACCAAATATAATTTATTTATAATTTGTCAGGGCGATTTTGTACATCGTCGATTGACAAATTAATGCACCGAGTCTATCGTACTGCTGCCTTATAAATACTTAAAAAAATGTGTCTTATCTATTGCCTTTAGATTTTAAAGAATGTACACTAAGCAATATATTCTACAATATAATTATATGCGAATTTTTAGAGTAAGGTCACGTTATCGATTTTAATTAGCTACATATCCAAAATTATTCCAGCAAGGATCGTTTTATCAAAGAAAAATGTTCATAGTTATTCGGAATTATCTAAAGAATACTCAAACGAAATAATTCTAAGCATATCTTTTTATTATTTATAGTTTTTTCTTACCGTGTTTATTTAAATCGGAGAAATTCTTACTGGAATGGTTTTGGGAGATTTTTTTGATAGCGGTAGTTGAAATACCAAAAATTTTGGGATTTAAGTAAGCTTAGCATATTTAGTGTGATGCTGTACTCCCGTTCGTTGCTGTGAAGTTTCCATTAAACTTAATTCCATGTTTAATATTGATTTTTAAAATATTGGAAAAAAATTAATTTCTATCAGATTCGAGTGTAATTAAAGATGGAATTAAGCAATATCAAAATGTTAGTTAGGTACGCAAAACACGAACATTTTATTTTCTTGTGCACATTTTTATCAAATAAGGTTTAATTCTTTACACATTCACGCTGTGTCTTAAAAAAAATGTAACTTTTGATACGATTCGTTTCGAAACATCCGTATCAAGCTTAAAATTAATCGTACATATATTGTATAATTTTGAAAAAAAAAACGTTTTAATTATTTTCAAGGGAACGTATGCCATATTTATTTTAAATTGTAATTCAATTTCAGATATAGCTATTATTTTGTATTTAACGAATTGTCAATTGTCAATTTAATGGTTTAATTTTAATAAAGAATGATGCTCATACTAGTTTGTTTCATACCACTCTAGATTCAAATTCGGGAGCAAAAAGGACAAAGAAAGCAATCGTTGCAGTTCTAATGGTAATTTTACTGCGAACTTATAGTATATAAACGAGAAAAAAATCACAAAATCACTTAAATAATACAAAACTGGCTAATTGGTACCGGTAGATCCGAAACCGCCCTCGCCCCGTTCCGTGTCGCTCAATTCCTTGGCCTCCACCAATTCAGGATAGTAAATTTTCTGGCAAATCAGCTGAGCAATTCGATCGCCCGATTTCACGTTGAAATCGCTATCGGAGTGATTGAACAGCACCACTTTCAAGACCCCCCTGTAATCTTCATCCACCACTCCTGCACCCACATCGATGAAGTTCTTCACGGCCAATCCGGATCTAAATATATAAAACAGTGCAACATTAGAATTATTACGATTATATAAGCAAACGTAGAGGTTGATCAATCTATCGTGTAGTCTTCTACTCAGACTACAATATGGTTAGAAGTAAGGGGAGTCATATAAAGACACACATATATAATACTAGAGTTTAAGAAACTTTTTATATCTACATTAAACGGTTACTTACCTAGGAGCTATTCTGCCATAGCATCCTTCGGGTAACTGTATCTTCAGTCCTGTATCGATCAAGGCCTTGCCTCTAGCCGGTACGACTACGTCGTAGGCGCTCTTTAGATCGTATCCGGCGGCTTTGACGGAGCCCTTGGTGGGTGGATAGGCCTCCTCTACCACTTTGGTGTACTTCAAAACGCTGCTGGTATCTTGAGCGATGGGCATTGTGATGATATTTCGTGAAACTACGAGAACAAAAAATTAACGTCGAGACGGTTCGAGTTGCTCGGGTTAATGCGAATTGGGCGCGAAAGTAACATTTTGTGCACAATTTGGCGCTAATCCATTCGTTTATAAATACATAAATAGCTGTAAGTAAAAAGAAGAATTGGGGTTAAGCAAATTACTTGCTGCACAATGTATAAGCAAGAGGCAATTTATTGACAGCAATTGACATTGACATTAATGACAATTGTGATTTGTTGTTTGGATGTGAAAGTTTAAATGTTAGTTTATTGGTAAAAATTTATAGTCTAAATATGTCGGGTCATAAAACATTAGTTGCACACAGACGTCTCAAGACCCCAACGAATCAACACGGAGACTTTTCAACGGAAGCTCAAAATGTCCAACTGGGCGAGAATAGTTTGTATTCAGACTTGAAATTAGGAAGAATCGATTCGTGGAGTTCGTTGAGCGACGAAAACGAATACGAAATCGAATTAACGAAGAAATTGCACGAGAAATTGAAACGAATAGATAGGGTATTGAAGAAGCAAGAAGATTTTCCTCATCATTACGATAGGGAGGAAATTGCACTGTGGATGAATACATTCCCGAATGTTCAGTATGTTTCGGTGTAAGTTGTGTTATAATTGGTTTAATTGAGTTTATTTTGCAGTATATTTGATTCGAAGCCGACCTGTGATAGTAAGAGAGATTTATCAAGTGTTGATAGAAGTTCCTCAAGAAAATGTGATCAAAAAGCACCTTATGTAGCAAATAACTCAGATTTTACATATAACAGATTATTATCGCAAAGGAGTACTAATAATTCTAAAAAACACACAGAAGACAATAATGGCAAACACAAAAATATCTTTTCAATATCGAGTAGGCACAAAAATATAGATGTTGATAAATCGTTAAAAATAACGCCTTTAAAAAGAGTATCGGATACTAAAATACCCACTAAATCATTCAAAAGGCTACAGAACGATTACACGGATTACCATTCTCAATTTGATTCTCTGCCTTTCATAAATTTAGAAGTTCTAAGAGAAAACCGTAAACCCTCGGACACTTACAGAAATGAAAAATTAACGAAATCATCGAGTTTAACAAAGAACGACTTACTGATTTTACCTCCTATAAACAGTGATAGATTGAGATCCATATCGGCCACACCTAGTCAGGACAAACCGAAACTATTTATAATTTGACACGAATTTAAAACAGAATTCTTTATTTTGCAATTATATTTTCTCGATATATCGAATTATAAGCACAAGCACAATTAATCGAATAAAATGTATAGTTATTTACCTCAATTTATTTGTATACGTTCTATGTTTTATAAGAATATTTATTAAATATAATTTTAACTTATCTCACATTTTATTTGAGCTTTTGATAACAGTTGAACAATTTATAACACTTTTGTTTTAGGCTAACGAAACGGAAACGTCCACAATAAAATAGATCATTCTTTAAAATCGACCACAAGTTGCTTATACTTGCTGCACAATGTATAAGCAAGAGGCAATTTATTGACAGCAATTGACAATAATGACAATTGTGATTTGTTGTTTGGATGTGAAAGTTTAACCACAAGTTTGATTTACTGGTAATAGTAATTAGACTTCCTGCCAAAGGATCATCCGACTTTAATATAATATAAATAGTCCTTAAGGCTTTCATCTTAAATATCACGTGTACGTTATTTATTGTCAACATGAACAATTTTGCGACGGGGGCGCCAGCATGTCCGAATCGTTGAGATCTTTGGGCCTTCCCCGGCGCCCCGGGAGCATCGCCCTGTCCACGGCCGTCTCGATTCGCAACATTACCCGCTCTAACAGAGTCTCTACGGCTCTATTCACGTTTTGCCCGGTCGCCGCGCTCGTTTCCAGATATGGCAGTCTAGAAAATCGCTCATTTTGTACTTTCAAATGAAATTAAATTAAAGATGGTGGACCGGTTTGCTGAATATAATACTTACTTGTAGGTTTCGGCGAATTCTCTAGCTCTCCATTCGCTTATTATCCTCCTTTCTTCTAAATCTGCTTTATTTCCACAGAGTACGATGTCCGGTACTTCGCAATAGGCGTGCAGCTAGAAAAATTATTAATTAGGTATTATAATAAACTGATTTTTGCTTACAATTTATAAAATGTGGATTTGTATGCGATAAATTAGTGCAGCAAGCAGTTAAAGTAATAAAAATATAAACAATATAGAAAAACGGGGATCCACAGACGATAAAATAAGTCCTGTTAAAAATAAAATTGTGCAAATCAACCTAAAAATTCGTGCAGGAATAGAATCAAGCGAGCTGTGCAAACCGTAGGTTCATATCATACCCTCAGTTGTTCGATCCAGTTACGGATTTCGAGAAAAGACTGCTCGTTGGTGAGATCGAATAGAAGTAAAAATCCCATCGCATCCCTATAAAATGCTGTTGTTAGGCTGCGAAATCTAACAACAAAATATTTTAGCTTCGACAATCTAGAGGAAATCGCGCCGTGATTAATCATCCGAACAGAAACATGCAAATGTTGTTAATTATTCAAATAAAATTAGCGCACTTATAAAAGGGCATTTGTTGTAATAGAGACTTTACCTTTCTTGTCCGGCAGTGTCCCACAGTTGCAGATGAATCCGATGGTTTCTACCTTTGGATTGGAATAACTGAAAAATTAATTATAATATCGAGTACAGGAAAATCGTTTACCATTTATCGACTTTACTTGAAGATTCGCTTACCATTCTTTTCTCTCGAAAATCGATTCCAACTGTTGATATAAACTTGGAATGAAAAACTCCATCTGTATATTGATACAAAAAACTAGTTTTACCCACTCCCGAATCGCCAAGAGTAAGAAATTTTATGAGATAATCATATTCCATTACTGAATGTAACTAAAAATAAAGAAACAAACACGGAGAACACATTTAAATATCGAAAATTATTAAAAATTCACATCCAAATCATACCTGACACCTGTTTGATTCTTCTTTGCGAAACTTTCCAAAAAGGGTGGACTGGACTTTTTCTATTAATCTTTTGTGCCAGCTGTCAAAAATATTTTTAATTTCATTGGATCAATATTTGACAAGCTTACGAATCAATTGTAATTTTTTTCTTCTTGTTGTGACCAACTTCATTCTATTCAAGTTTCCATACATGAACATAACCTCACTATAAGTACTATAAGCATGTGGTAAATGTATGTTAACAAATATACTTGATTTATTAGATAAAGATGGGTCAAAAGAAGAAAATTGGAAAACAGCGAAAGGATAAGTTCTACCAGTTAGCTAAAGAAACAGGTTGGTCATTGCTAAGATAAAATACGCCGTAATTTAACCGTTTGCATTAGGTTTTAGATCTCGAGCTGCTTTCAAATTAATCCAGTTGAACAGGAAATTCGGTTTTTTGCAAAAGTCCCAAGTATGCGTCGATTTATGCGCCGCACCGGGAGGTTGGATGCAAGTCGCCAAACAGAACATGCCCATTTCCAGCGTAGTAATAGGCATCGACTTGTTCCCCATCAAACCCATACCGGGCTGCATAAGCCTAGTCGAGGACATAACCACGGAAAAGTGCAAGTCGTCTCTGAAAAAGGAACTGCAAACGTGGAAGGCCGATGTGGTGCTCCACGATGGTGCCCCGAACGTGGGCAAAAACTGGCTGCACGACGCCTACCAACAGTCCTGTTTGACGCTGAGTTCGCTGAAATTGGCCACTCAATTCCTCAAACGGGGAGGTTGGTTCGTCACGAAGGTCTTCAGATCCAAAGACTATCACGCTTTGATTTGGGTGTTCAAGCATCTGTTTAAAAAAGTGCACGTTACGAAACCCCAAGCTTCTCGTAACGAATCCGCCGAAATATTCGTCGTGTGCCAAAACTACATAGCACCCGATGAAATAGATCACAAATTTCTGGATTCGAAATACGTATTCGAAGAATTAGATTTGGAATCTAAAAACAAATTAAACGTGTTGCATCCTGAGAAGCAAAAGAAAGCCAAAGCGGAGGGTTATCCCGAAAACAATTACACTCTATACACTAAATTGAATGTGTCCGACTTCGTAAAACACGAAAATGGCATCGAAGCCTTACAGAACGCTTCCGAAGTAAGCACTTTCCGAATAACAACCGATAAATCGCTAATTTTGTTTGCATTTTAGATCGTATTCGATGACAAGGAAATTCTAAACCACAGTCTCACTACAAAAGAAATCCAAGAATGCGTTAAAGACATCAAAGTGTTGGGCAGGAAAGACCTTCGCAAGCTCCTCACTTGGTGGAAAACCTTACACGAAGAATACAAAAAGAGCAATGCTATCGATGAAGAAACCGAAACCGAAGATGCATTAATCGAAGCTAAAACCTCGACAAACGAAGATGAATTCGAGGACATCGAGAACCAAATCGCCTCGCTACAAGAAGAAGAGCTGAGAGATCAGAAACGCAAGAAGAAGAAAGTCCAGAAAGAGAGGCAAAAATTAAACGATAAATTAAACTTGAAAATGCTCTTGAAAAACGACGACGGGCCCGTTATGGAAGGCGAAGAGATGTTTACTATAAAGCACATAACGAACGATAAGAAAATGAGTAAAATATTGGATCAGACTCCGGACGCTGTGGCGGAGTCCGATGATGAATACGGAGTGACGAAACACGCCCCGAAATACACCAAATACGAAAAGGGCCAAGGGAATTTAGACAGTTCCGCTACATACTATAAAGACTCAGATTCCGAGCTGGAGATGGAAAGTGATGATGACGAAGAAGAAGTTAAAGAAGGATTAGGTAAGCGTGTTAAATATTCCTCATCTTATCCAAATTCCTAATGGTATGTTTGTAGGATTCAATGATGACGAAGAAGAAGAGGCCGTTCCGAAAAAGCAACTATTAAAATCAACGAAAACTAAAGATCATCCTTTAATCACCGATTTGGATTATCGGGACAAAGAGAAGAAAAAGGCTCACAAAGCGGAAATTTGGTTCGAGCGAGACGGCTTTAAAAATCTCATCGATAAAAAAGACGAAGACGTGGACTTGGATAAAATGGTAACAAACATCAAGAAAAAAGGTGCCGAATTCGTTGAAAACAACAAAGAAAAGGCCACAAAAACCGACTACAATTCCGAAGGAGAGAGTAGCGATAGCGATACGGATACAGACACCGATTCAGATTACGATGTCGACAAAGAAGTACAGATTAATAATTCGAAAAAAGATGGATTCGAGATTGTCAAAGCTACAGGAGGAGGCGGAGGTGAATAAACGAAAAAAACCAATTTATTCGAATCGTCCAATTAATTTTATTATATTTGTAGATAAGAAAAAGAAGCACAAATTGTCGTCGAAAGATATGGCTATCGGCACGATAATGGTAAACAGTAAAAAGGCTAAAAGAGATCTCGTTGATGCGGCCTGGAATAGATATGTATTCAGCGATGTAGGATTGCCCGATTGGTTTGTACAGGACGAAGAGAAGCATATGACGAGAGAAGTACCGGTGCCTAAGGTGAGTTACACAGCCAACCTTCGATTAAATGCATATTGAGATGAACGATTGTAGGAACTGGTGGATGAATATAACAAAAAACTAGAAGAAATTAACGTTAGGCCCATTAAGAAAGTCATCGAAGCGAAGGCGAGAAAGAAGAAGAGGGCAATGAAGAAACTGGAAAAGGCGAAGAAGAAGGTCGAAACGCTGATGGATAATGTCGATATGTCTAATCAGGAAAAGGCCAAGCAGATCAAACAGTGAGTGGTACTTTTCGGAAGGTTGAAAATTTTCTAATTTTTGTTTTTTTTTATTCCAGATTATACAGGAAAGCTCGTCAAGAACCCAAGAAGGAAGTGACTTACGTTGTTGCGAAGAAACACTCGACTGGTAAAAGAATCGGTAGACCCAAGGGTGTTAAAGGACACTACAAAGTGGTGGATCCCCGAATGAAAAAGGACACGAGAGCGCAGAAGAATAAGCCGCAAAATCGAGGAAACAAGAGGAGGAACAAGAAATAATTGTTAACACAAAACTTGTTGATTTTTTATTACATAAATAAATAAAATTTTTACCAATTATAGCTCTTTAATGGCAAATTGCTCTAAATATTCCGTTTCTAACGGATGAACCTTAGGCCCGACAATAATAAGGGAATGCAACGGGGCTCCTAAATCATATTTGCGCATTTCACTCAAAGTACACATTACGATTTTTTGTGTTTCCGAACCAATCCTCGCCAATCCCACACACAAAACATCTTCGCTTATCGAAGGTTCTTCTCCTGCAGCCAATTTTTTATTCACTATTCGAAGCAGTTGGTCCGAAGCTTCACTAACCGTCATAAATCTAGGAGGCATGTAATCCTTTTTCTTCTTAGTGAGGCTTTCTAACGTGGGCTCCTTTACTTTGATGTCCAGCAGGCATAGTGTATGCAGCCCGCTTTTGAAGTTGCTTGTAATTTTATCGAAAAAGCTATCCGGCTGCCACGTTTCCGTCCAGTACGGTATCGAAACGGTCTCGCCGAACGAATACAACTGCAAACCGCAGCACCCTACAGCGTTTAGAATCGAAGCGTTGTGCACCACCTGGCATTTGGCCCCCTTTTTCTGCGCTCTAAGTACAAGATCGGTGTGTGTGGTTGCCCCGAAGGGATCTCCCACTACCAACAGCGCCACGTCGTTGTCTTCGCAGCCCGCCAATATATCGTCCGCACCTTGCTCCACTAGATCTCTATCGGCCACGATTAATTTCCTGCCGTAGAACTTCTCCAGTTCTTCAGTCCCGCAAGTTAGTATGGATGTGTACGCTTCTAAATAAACCCTGTCGCAGGATTTTATTATTTCTAGACCTTTCACTGTTATGTCTTTGGGATCGCCCAATCCTAAACCGATGATATAAAACATTGTTTAATAGTTAATATGCGAATAAAATTGTTTGCGTTTGTTAACATAACCTAAATTTAGCACATGTTGATTGGTTTGACGTTTATGCTGTCAATGTGAAGTTTGCACCTTTTTTGTTTGGTGACTAGTTCTATTAGTGTATTCAGCTAATAATCTAATTAATTAGTTCATTTAGATTTTTCTTTTTTATTGAAAGGTGTTAATGAAAATTTAGTGAGGTGGCTGTGGAGTGTCTAAAAGAAACTTATTGTGAAACAGTGAATTTTTTGGAAAAAAAAGCATACTATTATGTAAGTATTTAAAAAAATGTGCATTTTTAAACATGCAGGATCAAAATGAAATATCAGTTTTGCTCAATACTTGAGTAATAATCCCACTCAAAAGAGAAAAAATCTACAAAATGTTGACAGGATTTATACCTCTCGGTTCGAATTTTTCCATTTTTTTCCTTTTAAATATTTGCATACAATGTATACATACACCGGAAAATAAGGACCATTCCGGTATTTACCGAACCTGCAAATACAGGCGAATCAATAACTTTGAGCCGGCATCCGCGTTTCGATGGGGATTTTTTTATTTTTGGAGTGCTCTTGCCGAATTCCCTGCAATATTTCGTGTCTGAATGATCGTACAAGAAAAACGTTTTATGCCAATAGGCAAAATTTTTTCGCGGATATGAGTATATGTGGCCCTTTCTGCATTAGGTATCGCTAGTATCGTAACCATTTATGTATGAAAAGGAAATGGAAAACTCGGATTAGAGCCACTGCAAACCGAAATCCAATCGATAATAAAAAAAGTGTGCTCGAAAAACTTTTAATCGCCGGTTGTATTTTTATTCCACCCTCTAATGGACCTTTGCTTAGGATTCACGAGGCAAACATCTTTTGTGCTAGGCGACAACGGGGGATTTATAACGAATTTAATCTCTGTCCACACTAACTCTGACCCTTTGTTGACAAGGGCCAGTTAGTTGTAAAGATAAACATCTCTCCTAAATACAGTAAAATGACAATGAACTATTTACCCCTTACTTAACTTGGCACAGATCTTCCGCATTCCGGACAAAAACTTGCCACCCATTTCACTAAATAAACTTCATGTTCCTGGTAATTAAAAGTTAATTACATTTCATCTTTCCCTCCGCTCTAATGCTAGTAATTATACAGTTCATTTTACGACTACCAACAAAATAATCGAGGGATAGAATTGATTAAAAGAAACATTTTAATAGGGACTTTTCCGAATTTTTCCCGTCACCGCTAGTCGCTTCCATTTTCCTTTTTTTTTATTTACTTTTAACGGCCCCATTCGGGACCTGAACTCGCACGCGAAGATAATCTCGGGGAAACAGGGAAACGGGAACTCTCGGCGCTAATATTAAATAATCAGAGACACAATGCTTGATCAGACATATTGGGGTCTTTTCGCGGAACGATCTCATTAAAAATACGCCGTTGTCAGATTTCCTCGCGAGATTTCCCCAGAGTTTCCCGACCCACCGACACATCCGGTTAAGGGCCCTAAGTTATATTACTATCGTCAAATTTTGGTTGTGAAGATTTTGTTACCGGAGCCTAATTAAACTAGGCAGCACACTTTCATAACCTGTGTGATTTTTGTTAGCTTTTAAGGCACTTAAAAGACAGAAATAGCTGCACAACACTCGAGCACTGTTTAAAAGAAAGTAAGTAAGTGGATTTGAAATGAATATAAGTATTTCCCTTTTGACTGGATTCTCTTGTGTTTGCGATATCTGGCAACGCGAATCCGATTCATTGCTGGTAACGGCTGTCCTTTATTGCGAGATGTTCCAGCGCCCGAGTTTTTCTTGCATAAATTGGATGCAAAACCCGAATTAGCATAAAAAATGGTCGCCGTGTCATAGAATGTAATTTCGCCCGGCGAAATGGAAGTAATGTTTCAACTTGGATTCGGTTTTTTTTCTCTGCGAACGGCCGGTATAATTTGTCTATATTCCATTAAAAACAATTCGTTTCGTATGGGTAATAACTGTATTTTTTCCACTTCCAAATTGAACCGTTATTTTCCACCAGATTGACAGGGTTCGATCGTGTGTAAATATTAAATTTCTTTTCCTACGAAACAAAGCGATGCAGTGTGTTTACCAGGATTTATCTACGCGGAAAAAAGACGAATTTGTAATCCACTAATCCAGACATTCCCGCATCGGGGAGCATTAATCTAACCCACCTGAGATTGTTCCTTATTCCGGATGAAATTCGGCGGAGCCGTTATTTTTTCTCCGGGCCCCAACGTTAGTTTGTCGTGAGCCGGAGTCGCTTGAATATTCTCGCGTCCATTTTTCGGTGCAAATGGAATCCGCGGATTCCTGCAGGGAAAACGGGACTGGATTCGTAGATGAGTTGGCTCATGTTTATTTTATCCGGTACATCTGGTTACTGCGGTAGATATGCTTACAATATTCCAGCCCTACAAATAACTCGCAGATTTGATGCGAGAATGCAGGTGGAAAATTGATTATTGCGGGGCTCCGTTCCGGAAAATCGCCGCCGGTTTAATAAGTTAATCTCGAAACCTTTTCGCTTAAATTGAACTTTTATTTTCCTTATACAGGGTGTTTCATTGGGAAAGGGCAATATTTTAACCCTGTATAGAGGTCACCCAGGGGATTACAAAAAACCCATATACTATGGGTCTTGCGCCCTTTATAACCGAGTTACAGGGTGTTTTTTGAATTTGGCCCATTTCTTTCGACACCTATAACTTTTGAATCACTCAGTATATTTTTTTGATATTTGGCATAGATATTCAATACCTTTAGGACAATTTATTGCCACATTAAAAAATTACAAAATCCAGGTCCGGATTTAGAAAAATTAATAAAATTTGACCGACCCTAAAACAACACCCTATACATCATATTTTAAAAAATTGAATTTAAAATTCAGAAAGAGCATAAAAAACTGAATGTATTCATCAACTTTTTATTTTCCCGCATGCCGTTTTTCTACCAAAATTTAAACGTTAAAAGGTACATTATGAGATTTTTGGTCCATGTAAATTGTAATTGAAAGGATTTTAATTATTTTTTCTTTAATAAAACCAGATTTACTTAACACTTTCATGAAAATTCTTGAAATAGACCTATTGAACTTGAATTAACATTCACATAAACCAATAAAAATTACAAATACAGATCCGCACTTAATAAAATTAAAATGATTTCAATTCATTTAATAATTAATCATTGATTATTCAATGTTTACATTTCTACGTGAGAAAATTCAAAACTTAACTAAGTAATTTACTAGATTTTTCAAAAAAGATACTAGAATAAGTATTCTTTTCCACAACACCAAGAGGTAGAACACAAGGCACGTTTTTCTAATGAGGTATCCCCAATAGGGCTAATCCACACGAACTGGTAAAATGGAACAATGAATAAAAAATATGAAAAATAAACAAAAAAAATTAACAAAAAACAACTCTAAAGCCAAAAGAACAAGAAATTTGGTTTTTAACCAAATAATTAATATCTACTAATTTAATACTAATTAAAAATAACAAAATGATAATTAACAAACTAACAACAAAAAACACCAGAAAAAAGTCATTTTAACAATTGCTCAAAATGTTCTCCATTTTGTTTGATACATAATCTAGCTCTCCTAATCAAGTTGCAAATAATAAATCTTCTAAGAACATTGGGATTGTTTTTTAATTCTTTAAAATTGCTTACTAGGTAAATGTGTTCTATCTCTTGGTGGTGTGGAAAGGAGTACTTTTAGTATCTTTTGTAAAGAAGCTAATAAATTACATAGTTAAGTTTAGAATTTTCTCATGTAGAAATGTAAACATTGATTAATCAATGATTAATTATTAAATGAATTGAAATCATTTTAATTTTATTAAGTGCGGATCTGTATTTGTAATTTTTATTGGTTTATGTGAATGTTAATTCAAGTTCAATAGGTCTATTTCAAGAATTTTCATGAAAGTGTTAAGTAAATCTGGTTTTATTAAAGAAAAAATAATTAAAATCCCTTCAATTACAATTTACATGGACCAAAAATCTCATAATGTACCTTTTAACGTTTAAATTTTGGTAGAAAAACGGCATGCGGGAA